AGTCTGCTCCTTTTCATCGGCAGCCCTTCATACATTGATCCTGATTTGATGGAATTGCAATCTTCGTCGGCGTCGACCTCCTTGAGTACGAGCCAGAAGCGGAAGCGTAATCAGGTCTATGCTTCTTGACTCGCCGTGCTTCCAATTTGTTAATTGATTTGTTCTCATAATGATTTGCGGTGGATTGAAGGCTCACTCTTTATTGGAAACTAATATTTGATCGGGATCAAGATATTTCGGGCTTTTGGTTATCGTATTAATCTTCTTTTCAGTTGCTTTGCCTTTTTTATGTTTATGATTTTTTGCCCATCTTGGGCCTTAAGGATTATTGAATAATTATATCTGGTGGGTTGTAGGTTGAAGCAGTGTTGGTTTCTGTCGTACCTTGTTAAGTTAGAATTTCTGGCATTATTTTTCCCTATCTTTTGCTTTGTGGATTATTGAATAATTTTATTTGGTGGGTTGTAAATTTAAGCTGTGTTGGCTTCCATAGTAATGTGTTGAGTTTGAATTTGTTGGCATTTACTGATTTGAATACTTTTTTCTTTTGATTTTGAAAAGTTTCATAACTGCAATTTTCTAGCTATTTGGATTAACCTTGAGAAAGAGCAGTGAGTTCGCTTAGGTTTTGATTATAAGAGCTCGGCACCATTTTAGCTCTGTTTGGGAAATAAGGGATTTGATTCTCTACGTACTATGAAGAAGAGCAAACCCATGGATATAGGTTCTAATGACGTTGGAACTCAGGAATTTTTTGACTTGCTAGAGTGGATTGGATGGAAATCTTGCACACTCAATTTACATCCAAATATCTTGGGGGCATCGTTCAGCCATGCTCAAGCCAGCTTTGGTAGATTAGCAGGATAAGGGAGATAGAAACAATCAACTTACATTGGATAACGATAAACTTGGCAAGTCTATCATAGTCAAATAGGACCTCACTAGGTCAACTCACCTATTCTCAAGATGAACTCGTGCAATGCAATGACTTATTTCAAGACTTGACTGCCTAATTAAGGGGCCAATTTTCTTTTTTTAGTAATCAATCTACCAAAAGTTTACTCCCTTGCTGTTAGGAGCTACTCATCAATATCAATGAGTTCATCAGAAAGTCAAGACCCTTACCTGGAGTATTAGCAACTTCACCATAAAAGCAACGTCCCTAGTTGACTACTAGGTGACTGCCATCAGATATCAAGGCAAGAAAATTGTTGACATGTGTTCCCGTGTGTATGTAAGAATCCCATCATGTATTTATATATTTTTTTCGTGAAGTCAAAATTTAACCATTTGTAGTGCTAAAGCCCTATATGCAATGGGCCAAAAGGTAGGATTGGAGGATACAAGAGATCATTTGGGAGTGCATGGAGCTAATGATAATCTCAGACCTTCCTTTTGTTAAATATTTCATTCTTCTTTTTTATCTTCCTCATCTCCTTAGATCCACTTTATGTTCATTTCAATATAAAACTTTGCAAGTCTTATTGGTTTGATTTTTGACATTACTGTAGATTGATTTGGATCCAACATGCAAGTTATTATATCTAAGAGATTTTCGAGGTATTTACCTACATGCCATAAAAAGCCTACTTATTTTTATTTCAATCCCCATTGTTTTATGCATGCATTTATGGCACCTAATCTTCTAAATTGGGCAAGCTTACTACTCCTGTTAACTTCTACCTTCAAAAGTAGCACTCAAAATGATTTTCATTCAAGCTTCCAAGAAAAATGTTAAAAAACTAATCTGTCTTTCCCATTCAATTATTGTTTGGTTGTTGTTGCATGGTTGCTTGATCCTTTTTGATCAGGATAATTCTCTGATTGTTGTTGCATAGTTGTTTATTCCTTTCCAAGAAAACAAACCTCTTCGATTATTTGCAACCTTTAATATGAATAATTTTGTATCGAATGTGAATATTTATGATTTTCGTTGCAATCAAGTGAGCTTTCCACAATTTTTTTTAAATCATTGCATGTAACACAATTATTAAGGCAAAAATTCATAGATTTTTTACATTAAAATAGTAAGTTAATATAAATTATGAAAAATTATATTTACTAAATTTTATATTAAATTATTGCTTTAAATTCATTAAATTATTGATCAAGTAGAATTTTTATATGGGTAGGGGGTAATTTTGACAAGCACAGTAGCCCGCTTCATTGGCCTTGGGTAAAAAAGAAAAAAAAAGTGGTAATTGGTTTGGCTCCCAGTTCTATAAATCTTAATAGTTTCTTGAAATTTTTTAGGTTGTCTTTCTTGAAATATAGTACTGAAGTGTATGATTTATCAGAATTTGTCTAACTTTTCTAATTCCATGTATATCCTAGGTATTTGCTAGAATACTCTTATATAAATTCAACCATTTAGTGTCGGTATGACATGGATCTATTATTTAGGGAGCAGTTTTTTAACTGGTTGGCAGATGTTGAATATTTGGCATAAAATTTCTATGTATATTTATTTGCAAGGTTCTGTAGGTCATAGGAAAAACAACTTAATCAAGCGTTTTGTGATACAACTTTATTTATAATGTGCTCTAGCTTAATCAAATAGCGCACAATGGCTGCATTTGGATCTTATAGGAGTAAGTACAGCAATGCCTGAGCATGCCTTGTTCCTTTTGATGCTGGTGCAATGTATGCTAGATTTACTCAAACTACTTGTTGCTGATAATTTTTTTGGGAAGCGTAAATGATGTCAACCCTTTTGGAGTCCATTGTATTACATGGACATTTCATACTAGAATTTTTTATGCAGGACTTTGGTGCAAATTGATGCAAATAACTAAGAATTTCTTAATATATACCAGGGTGATCTTAATTATAGGAAATTTGTTTTCTGCACACAGGGACACTCTCCAGTTGATATGCATGTGGTGGATAGCATTAAAGATATTGTTTATTCAAGGATCCTATTTTAGGCCAATCTTGGAAATTCGGTTGGAAAATAATACCATTTTAAAAGTCTTGCGATTTTTTGTATAGAATTAAATGTGTTTCTCATTTAATTTTTAATCTTTCCGTTTGTTCAAATAAAAAATTAAAGTTTTGAAATTTATTTATTTTCTTTAGTATTTTGTTCTATTCAGATTTTGAGTATAACTCTACCTTTCGGTATCCTGCAACCCAAACTGATTATAGGTTTTTGTTCTATTCAGATTTTGAGTATAACTCTACCTGATTAGCTTTCGGTATCCTGCAACCCAAACTGTTTGTTAATTAATGTGTTCCTTTATATTCAATGCCACTTTGGATGATGATGAACAAAGACTTTGGTACCCTCTGACTCCGAGATAGAAGAAGGATGGCGTGAATGAGAAATAAGTTAGCAATTAGCATTCTTAAAGCTAATATGTAATCTTACATTTTTTTTTCCCAACAATGATGAGCTTATTATTACTTATCACAGCAAATCCCGTAACTTCAACTACTGATCCTTTGGAAGTTCAGACTGACTTGTTACGTTTTGATGACAACTCATGGTTCCCAATATTGGTTCTGGTGTTGTGAGACATGTTTCTAGTTTTTTTTTCTTTAGTACAGATTGTCTATATTTTTGAACATCCTTTCGTCAATATGAGAACCAATGTTCAATGCTTCTCTTGTCAATACCTATCTGGATTGCCTCAGAGTATGTGGTCTGGCCAAAGGAATCCTCTTATTTTTTCTGTGATACAGGTTGTGTTATTTTTTTGTGCCGTGTCTTCTGATATTTTTTTTCCGTGCCGAGTTTTAAATAACTGCAAGCATGCATTACCAATGGACTATTTGATGGAGATCTTTTCTCTAGGATTTGTTGATTGGTTGTTAAGTTTGTCCTTGTCAACTTTTGGGCCACTGGCAGCTCGAAGTGTGAGCTGTGGCAATTTTGGTCCATTCTGCGGCAAGTGTGATCCATTTTATGACATTTGTTTGAATATTGTTAACACACCTGTTTTCTATTTATCATATTGTGCGGTTTTACCAACATGCATAACTTGCACTCCCGTATTTATCCTATTGTACTATAAGTCCTATATGCGGCTCTATCTGCATCCTATCTATGCTAATTTTACTTCTGTCTTTCATGTAATCTCTTCCATTTTTGTTCCTTTTTGGCAATTCTACTATGCTAGTTTTGATGGTCTCATCCAAGTAATTTTTTTTTAACTTTATCTGCTGCAACGGAACAAGTTTATGGTCTATGTTGGAAGGTTAATAAATAAACTATGCGCGGCGTTTATTTGCTTAACTTTGATTTAGTAAATTTAAGATTTCAGTTTAAATATTATGTGTCAAAGTGGATGTGTGATTCTTTAGAGTAAAGCACAAGTATAATAGCCTACTTTTGGATGATGTTATTTCCTTGTATCGATGTGTGACTTGGATTTTTTATTTTTCTGTGAGCATTTTGCTTTTTATGATTTTTTCTAAATAATTCTTTATTGGCTTGTTGGAATGTTCTATTTTTTTTAAATCGGATACAATTGGAATCCTACTTGTGGTGAAGAAAAATATAATTGTTTGCTAATCTTCTGTGGTTCTAATATCTTTTTGATTTCTTGAGGTTTTTTTTTCATTCATTGTATTATTTGTTTGTAAATATCATGTTCTCAAGTTTGCATTGAAAGAAAACATGTTTTTTACATATTTAGTGGGCTTTGATTTACGAATTCTAAATTGCTTTGCATTATCTATGTTAACTGCTTTATTTTTGTTGTGTTAGAATACTTAAAGTCTATACTGTTCTTCATTAAATTGGTATCAATGCTAATAGTCGCATTATCATGCTAACTTGATGTAGGAAATATTAATTGAGTCAATAAAAAATAAAAATTTGATGCAATTTAAACATGATTAAGTTGTGGTTTTAAACAATCACACCATAACTATTTAGGTTCAAACTTATATTTCTACCTTTGATTGTGGTGGTTGATTTTATAAATTTTTTTGAGTGGATTGATAAATTGAAAGATTCTTTTGAATATTATTTGGTTCTTAAGGTTAAAATTGCTAAGTAAAATTAGCGGGATATGTGTAATTATTTTACTGAAATATTTCGAGCAAAGAAAAATCAATGAGCATTATGTGACATACGCAAAAAGAGCAATATCTGCCATTTGTTGAATATAAAGATCAATTGTACGATTAATTTAAGAGTCACAAACAAAACAATTTTAGCTTGTCTACATATTATGCAAATTTTACACGTCATGTGGTTACACTTGTTTTGTCTCTAGACTCTTTAGTTGTAAGTATTTGTTTCATTAAAGATTCTAAGCATGAGGTTATTGATAAACTAAGATGCAATTCATTGAAACATTATCTGAGGCTTTATTTACATTTTTAAATGCTATAGTATATTACATATTAGGATTATCACACATGATTTATGTTAAAAAAAACCATTTCTCTAAAGCCTACCAAATGCACAGCCCCACAAGATTCATATATGGTTGAATTTGTTTTTAATAAAAGAAATATAGTTCGTGGATATTCTTTTGAAGATATATTAGATGCATAATGCAATTTGCAATTACAGTTTAAAGCTATATCTAATGGTTTTGAATTTGAATTTTCATCTATATTAATATATATTCATGAACTTGGAACTTGAAACTTGAACAATAATTAGCATAGGAGTTTGATAGAAAAAATTGAGCATGAGATTAAGTATAAACCCAAACTCTACGAAAGCTTATATATCTGGATGTAAAATTGAACCAATCATGTTTATTTGCTGTGGATGAAATACATGATCAATCTAAAAAAGTAAAAATATAAGCTTTGATGAATTTTATCCGATGTTATTATTGCATTGATGGATGACTAGACTAATATTGATTTTATTTTTTATTCATGGTTTAGTTTCATAGAATGATAAAAGCCAAGTGCCATCAATATTTTAAAAAATTAGTAATAATGAATGTCTTAAAAGAAATTTGAAATTGAATGCTCCATCCATTTGATCTATATTGAAGGTGCATAATTTATCAAATATCATATTTAAGCAATTTGAGTTTGTCTTTTTTAATGATATTTTCGACCCATATTAGCATATCATAATTGTGTGATTTGTTTGCTCTTAGCATTTTATTACGTGCCCTTTCTCATTATCATGATTTACATGATTAGCTTGATGCACAAAAGGATATTGATAGGGTATTGGCTTTTAATTACGAAACAACTTAGTGATAAAGTAATGTAATGATACTTTTAAATCCTGAAAAGCTTCTTTCATGAACTTCTAAAATTACATGCAAGGAAGGCATGGATATTAATATCTTGCAATGCATAGTGCTTATAAATTAAAATTTCTAAAGGCTCTAATTTTTGGATGTGCCTGATTTGAGCTTATTTAATGAAATTTCTGTCAAATTCGTGGATTCATCTCTCTTTCCATCTCTTTGTTTTGAATTTGCATTCAGCACTCTGCCAAATAATTTTATATAACTAATGCTATTTTGGATGATTTGATTGTATTCACAATTGATGGCGGATTCTAGATTTATCTCGTACATTGATGTGATAGCCTTTTTTTTGATGGTTTATGAAATGCTTTGCATGAAGCTCAGTATTATTATCCTGGTTTGATTGATCAGCACCAAATGTTAAACTTGTGGGAGTTGAATTTGTTCAAGATCGATAGTTTTGATGGGGAGATCTGTCTTTCATAATTAGTTGATGGCTGTTGATGGACCTTGTTATGTTGGACCTTGCTACGCTTGGGTTGCCGGACTATAGTTATGTCCCCTTGGCATTTGTGTGGCTATGTCAATATCTGTTTTCTATTCATCATATTTTGCAGGTCTTATCAACACATAAGTCTTGCCTATTTTGCAGTTTTACCAACACATGAGATTTTCGCTTTCACATTTATCCTCTTCTACTGTCTTTCTTCTTTGTGACTATTAGTAACCCATCAACTGTGTCTTTACAGTTGGCTCGCAGGGATTTTGTATCATTTTTGTTTCATTTGGCGATTTTGCGATTCTACCTACAACAATCTCAGACTTGGATTTTGTTTGCTTATCTGTGTTGTAATTGAGCAACCCTATGGCTTCTTGCAGGGATTCACTTTTTATTCATTTACTTTTATATTTTAGTTTTCAATCTTGTGTGTACAATTTGGATATGTTATTTTTTTGAGTGTGGTATAATTGTGACTATCTCATTAGGTGGAAGTCATTTCATTGTACTGGTTTGACGCATGGATTTTCTTTTTTCTAAAGAAAGTTTTTTTTTTCAATATCTAATTCTTTGAAATAATTTGCTATTGGTTTTTTAGAGTTCTTGATCTTGTTTTAATTTGATGCAATTAAGCTTCTATTTTTTTTTTAAATTTTTTATTGCTCATTGATTATTCTTGGTTCTGAATTCTTTTTTATTTTTTTGAATTTATTTGGTTATGTTGTTATTATTTTATTCCAGTTGTCATGTTTCCTGGCTTGTGCCCATTTAGTTTTCTTACTTTTAGAGGTTTTTGATTTGTGAATCCTAATTTCCTCTTTGTGATACACATTCATTGCATTTTTCTTGTTTCATTTTAATATGTAGACCCTGAATTTTCTAGCATCAATTTTTGTAAGTATTTTTCTATTGTTTATATGTAAGGCTGATCTAAATCAGCTTGGATAAGGTTGACGATGACTGTAATTATTCTGATTTATTGAATTATTTTGCTGAAATGATTCACTACTACATTCAGGTTGTTCCTCGTGATATAATTGAAATAGATGAAGATGATGATCAAGATGGAGTTGTGATAATTGGTGAAAATCTTTTAGAAAACAAAAGCAAACAACCTATAAAGTTTGAGAAGGTTAGTAAAACTCCAGTAATGGTATGTCGACTCTTGAATAATCCTGGGATTATTTTGGAAATTAATCTTATACACACACACACCGTTTTTCTGCACTTGCCGTTTCTGATTTTTTCACTTTTCATAGGATGTTTTCCCCTTTGTTTATGAGAGTTCTTATACAAAGCTCAAATCTGAAAGTGTTGCTCCCTCAGACAAGCAAAAGGGTTTTGTTTTAGATCCTCTGGATTTCAGTTTTACTGATGAATATGATTATACTGAATATGAGGATGATTATGATGATGAAGATGACTATGACCTTGGTGTATCTGAGAGTGATAATAACCTTACTTTGGCTGCTCAATTTGATGAACTGGACCTGCCACCTGGAGTGGAGGCGACTGTCCCTTGGCTGCAGAGTGATGCATCTAAAATGCTGACAGTCAAGCCAAACTTAATTATTGAGGATGAGATTGATTTGAAGTTCAAAGCATTTAAACAATTTGATACTGTTAGAGATAATTCAGATCATTACTTTAACAGACCTGAGCTCCTTAAGATAACTCCTTCAGTAAAAAAGGTATACATGAAATCCTTATAAGTGTGTTTTATCCGTTATCTGTTTAATTCATTTTAGTTCTTATTGACAATTACAGCCAGGAAAGGATTGGGCTAAGAGGATTCAACACGAGTGGAAGGTTCTTGAGAAAGATTTACCTGGTGAGTTTGGAAGATTAATGTCTTTTGGCAATTATAGTTTCATGACCATATGAGTCTGATGTTTTAATTCATTTGAAATTCTATGCTTGAGTAATTTATAGCAACTTGGGCATCATGCACTGTTGCTTGACCCTTTAAATCAATTAACTTAATGTTTTATGGGAAGCAATTTTTATGGCTGTTAAACTAATTGTTTTTCTATAATTGATCTTTTTGCTACATTACTAAATATCATCACTTACTATGGTGATGTTCATGAGAAATTTTGTGATCATTTGAAATGCAATTAACGTGCATTGATTCTTAGTTGTTTTCAAATTCATTTCATTGACTCTCTGTTTACTGTTAACTCACTATAGTTCCTCAATTGGGTGCCATCTTTGCTTGTCGTTTCTGATACTGCACTGTTATGTTGATAAATTTCCAACTCTATTATGCTGCCTTATGTTTTCGACTATTTATTACCACAGTCTCGCTATCTTAGCCACAGCGTTGTTTCTTAAACTCTCGAGTTTTGCTTCTGTTCACTGCCTTGAGAATATAACCCATTTTCTTGATTCAATAATGTAATCATTTGAGCACATGGAGGCTGGATTCATTTGAGCATGTGCCGATAAAGTCATCTAACATAAGGTGTTGAACTGTTCAAATGGAGGACGGTGGCCATTATATTGTATGGTGTCTATTTGGACTTGTTGAAACTACCTAGATAAGTAGGTGACTATCAGCCATTGCATGGTGATCAGGCTAATAATGGCTAAATTCTGAAGGTGTTAAAACTGGCGTTTATGTAGTCTCTTGGTAAATCTGCCTGTGATATGTAACTTTGCCAATGAGCAAGTTGGCGACATTCTTTATTGTTAGAGATGTTTTTTAATGTCACAACTTTTGTGGTTTGTTATGTTGCACATCATGTGGATCAAATAAATTTTGTTAGTAGTCCAACTGTGAGAGCTAAGGCTAAAGTTAAAAAATATCAAAGAATAGTTCCAACAACAAGAACTCAACAAAGACTTATATTAGGATTCCATAATTTAGACTCTATTTAATGTAACTATCTTTTTTAATTTTTACAATTTAATCTTTCACTTAGGCACGTGTGGTCAGCCTTGACATGAAGGAAGCATTAAAAATTTATTGAGCGCAACTCCTTTATTAAGAGCACTTAATTGTTTTTCATATTTATCTCGTTTTGGGTAGCCGTCGGAGGCACCGATTTTGTGCCGGAAGTGTCGTAATTGTTTTGCAAGCTTTAAGCTTTTAAAAGGGTTTTAAATGTGAGTTTGGCGAAGGGTAAGTTAAGTTGGAGCTGATAAGAAGAAGATTAGCTGGTTTTAAAAGGGTGATTGATGCTGAAAAGCTCATTTGAAGTATGTTTTGGCAAGTAAAGTCTTTTTTTGGGTTAATTCATGCTGTGAGCACATTTTATGAAATCCCACTTTGTCTATGAGCTTCAGGTTGTCTATACGAGGTGGCGTGCTCGAGACGAGTTTGTGGGCACTCATCATATGGTTGTTCCATCAAGTCAGATAAAAATAATTTTCTATAGGTTGGTTTCTATTTTGACACAGAGGCATATATAACTTCCTACATTTTGTAAATGGATACTTGTAATGAAATGTATGAATGCACATTTACTTTTCTTACAATATGTAATGACTTGATCAGACAATGCTGCATATGAATATGCATATGATATGAAATTTTTGTAGGTATTCATTTGTTATGTCTCATGCCTATGCCTATGGTACATGTAATGCCTGATAAATGTTTGATGCTGGAGTGATGATTTAAATTTGACAAGGAATGTTAAAAGGATTGATTATTACATGATTGTTTGCAAGTACATTATGTAAGGATGTAGTATTCTCGACTCTTGATATTTATACGATGACGAAACTCTGAGAAACATTAGAATTAGACGGTTACAGAATGTTAGGGAATCGTGGGTTTCAGGAGGGGCTTTTGATAACTATTATGTTGGGAGAAATCCAATCTTTATCGATAGTTTATATGACTTTTGAGGCAGAGTTACGACCCATGATGAAAAAAACATAGAACTAGTTAAACCCTATATATTAAATAAGTGACACTATTATGATATGATCTTTATAAAATAAATAAACATGCTTTTATATACTTATGATTTTATGCTTACGGTTTGCATGTTGCACTACCGTTAATTTTTTTATACTACATGTACCTGCTCTCTTTTCATGTTTTTTATTATGTTAGCATGTTATAATTGTATGTAGATATATATAGTTTTATTCGAGGATGCACGTATCTTTTTCATGTATAAAGTCTTATGTTAGCCCTGATTATTTCTTTGAGCTCGTTGTCGCTCATTCTTCATTGTTGCCTTCCAGGTAGAGGCAACGAACACTTAGACGAGTAGTTAGGTGTGTCTTTGTATAGCTTTTTCACGATTATTTTGGGAGCTTTGTACATATTTTTTATGTATATATTTATTTATTGGATTTAGCAGCTCTGTATATCTATATTTTGATGATATGATTTCCATGCTTCCATATATAAGAATAAATTTTGACATGCAATGCATCGTGTATGTGTGGTGATCCGATTAAATTAATTCATCATCTTCTAGGTTCTGATTATAAAAGTCAGGACAAGTGCTGATAAGAGTTAGTCTGACCATATTGTCAGCCTTTGTTTTATCTCAGCTGACCCCTAAAAACGGGGGGCAGTTGGGGTGTGACAAAAAGCAGTATGAGAGCATGATTATTGGATGAAAAGAACGATGAAAGTGTGCTGGATTTAGAGAAAGTAAGAATGAGATAAAATATGAATTGATTTATATAGAGTTATAAGTTGTGAATCTGTAGTGGGTAACCCTTATGACTTAAGATGACATGTGCACGATAAAATTATTATATGATAAATTGCTTGTGAATAATATCTTGTGCCAATACAGATAAACATGTCTGGAGAAGAAACAAAAAATATTGAATGCCAATCTTTTGGGCGTTGTGTAGAGCAGAAGGTTAGATCTGAAACTATTTTGGGCAGAAATGAAAATCAAAATAAGAAAAATGCAGATTCCAGAACAACTGAGTTACATAGCGTTGTACAACTGATATCACAAGTGATTGATAAAATAACTGCTATCGAAAGATCCTCCACCAGTACAGATCCCATATCTGAAATGGGGCGAAACTTAAAGATATTTTAGTCCATTAAGCTACTTGCATTCAAGGGTGTCAGGCCATTGCTGAAGATTACCTCCTTAAGATCGGAAAAGTTCTAGACGGTATGATTTGTCCGAAAAATAGAAAAGTGTTACCAGCTAAATTTATGTTAGAAGGCATGGTGGCAAGCACAACATTGAGAGAAATTTCAGCTGACACCTCATCTACAAATTCAGTGGGAAGAATTTGTTAAAGTCTTCAAAGATTGGTTTATTCCGACCTTAACCAGATTAGCATTGCAAGATAAATTCAATCTAACTCAAGGGTTCTAGACAATTATGCAATATGAGATAGAATTCACTTATCTTTCCAGATATGCACCTCATTATGTTAACACCCAGGAGGAAAAGTGTCACAAATTTCTGCACGGTCTCAGAAATTAGTTGAGATTGACATAACTTCATTTGAAATCAATGATTTATTCGTTTTTGTTGAAAGGGCAAAAAGAATTAAAAATGAGCCGAACTTTTCCAGTCAGCAGTGACAACCTCAGACAAGCAAGCGCAAGGATATTGACAAAAGAGAGCACTTCCAAAGAAAGAAGGTAAGTTCAAGCAGCCTCATATAGAAAAACTAGTTTGTGACAAGTGTGGAAACAAACACTTTGGGCAGTGTTTGATTAGTTCAGGAAAATGTTACAAATGTGGACAACCAAAACACATTCAAATGAATTGCCCGCTGGAAAAGAAGAAAAGCAGCAGACCATGCAATCCAAGGACAAAAACGGTTCAAAAAATTTATGGAGGACAGTCAACCTAGTAGAACTCAGTTTTTGAGAAAGCCTTCAGTGCAAACAAAGGGTGAAACTTCAGAATGCAGAACAAAGCAATTAGTAAAAGCTCGAGTTTTTGCTATACGCCTCAAGAAGCCCAAAAATCTGAAAATGTGGTTACAAGTACGCTCCTAATTCAAGACCAGTCTGACACTATTCTATTCGATTCAGGTGCAACACATTCTTTTATCTCTGATGAGTTTATCGCCAGATTACATGTTGATATTATATATTTATCTCCTGCACTTTATGGTACTGTGCCCTCGGGAAGTGGATTTTATGCCAATAAAAATGTGTAATGCATGTTCATGTTTATGATAAGTTGCCATCATAGTTGATTATCTTACTAATTCAGACATTTGATTTCATTTTGGGGTAAATTGGTTGGTAAATCATTTTACTACATTTGAATACTAGAAAAGATTGGTAAAACTAAAATTACTTGGTGAAAAATCATTTTATTTATTATGTGATCAAAATGCACAATCTTCCCTGATCAGTTCAGTGAAAGTTGGGAAATATTTGCGAGGTGGTAAACTGGTATTTTTGGCAAAATTAGCAGACCTGAATAAATATGTGCTGAAATTAAAAAACATCCTTTTGATTTCATAATTTTATGATGTATTTTCAAGTATTGTCAGCGCTACCTCCAGAACGAGAAATTGAATTTGGTATTGATGCACAACTGGGAACGTTTGTAATATTTAAATCTTCTTACCGGATGGCTTCGAAGGAATTACAAGAATTGAAATGTCAGTTGTAAGAACTAATAGATAAGGGTTTTATCAGACCAAGTAATTCTCTGTGGAGTGCTCCAGTATTGTTCGTCAAGAAGAAGGATGGATCCATGCAGTTATGTATTGATTACAAAGAATTTAACAAGGTGATAATCAAGAAAAAATATCCTTTGCTCGAGATTGATGATTTATTTGATTGATTAGAGGGTGCCAACTTTATTTTTTTGAATTGATTTGTAATCAGGATATCATCAGGTTAGAGTCAATTAGACAGATATAACT